CATATCATCTTTTCTACTCAATTGGGAATGCAGTAAGTGCTGCATGAATATCAGTGAAATAATGCAAAGCTCAAAATAACTAGATTTACTCTACGGCTGTCTCACTGTGAAGCCAGATTTGTATGGAGAGCCACACACAAGGCAGACAGTGCAGTTTGTGTACTGAAACCTCCATTTCTGACTTCCATTCATATTGAGGAGAATATGCTTTGAAAAGAACTCTCACTGAACATACTTTGATATTCTCTGTATGCCGCCTCTACAAGGCCTTCTTTCTCTCTTCGCCTTTCGTGGACGGAGCAACATAACAGGCAAAGTTTTGGAAGAAAAACACAAAGACGTGGAGGGGATGGGGGGCACCGGGAACAAAAGAGCCTCTTTTTATTTTCCATTTGCGGGCCTCTATTCTGTGTTCTGTCCGCTCAGACACGTCGTCAACAGCGGAAGTCGTTTGATTTTGCATTTAGTTCACTGCTGTGTTGCAGCATTATTGATAAGTTCATGAAAAAAGATTAAAAAAATGTCATCTTTTATCACGACATCTGCAACACTTCCCTCTCCTCACATGTCCCGCTGTGTGAATTAAAAACCGCAGTGTCCTGAGAGGCTGTGGAGCACATTATTAGATCTGAACTGAGCAGAAGAAGTGGAAGGTAGAGTCCCCTGATGAGACGGAGCTGGAGGTGTGACAAGTGCGCAACCAGTGTCTTTTGAAGTGAAAGTTGAGACGGAAATGTGGAGTTTTATTCGTGGCAGCTCAGTGCTGTTTGTGGAAAATACTTGATACCTGATGTGACTTTTCTGGAAACAGATATTATGCTGAATATATAAAGACAACGGGTGAGTTTTTTTTTTTTGATCAATAGATTTATTCTGGCTTGAAACGGCAAGATACTGTGTTAGCAATAAACGTTTTCTTTGCGTCTCGACTGGGATTTTGTTCCACTCTTCCAACCACGAGGTCTCTAAAGTTGGAAGGTTTCTCTTCCATCATTCTGGTCCCTTCACAGATTCTTGATGGGATTCATGTCTGGACTCTAAAATGTTCATATGGTTTTCTGTTAACCTTTTCTTCACTGCTTTCGCTGTATGTTCTATATCAGGGGTGTCAAACTCTGGCCCGCGGGCCAAATTTGGCCCACTTTGTAATTATATTTGGCCCGCGAGACAATACCAAATGACTACTAGAGCTGCCCCCGGTATTATACTGTACAGCGCAGTCACCGCTAATACTACAAATCCCATAATGCCCTGTTGTTGTTTTGGCGCGTCAATCAGGACAGGACCCAGAAACTCCCTCTCCTCTGTGACAGTAGGCATAGCGACTTCACACTACAACTGTGCCATTGATGTGTTTTTTTATTTATAATTTGATTTTGCATGTCTCCACTATTAAGTTATATATAATGTATGCTAATAAGCGTTACTTGTTCCATATTCAATGTTAAAGCAAAATTTGTTTCGGTCCATATTAAAAGGTTCATTTGTTCAATGTTGGCCCGCGACTTTGTTCAGGTTTTAAATTTTGGCCCACTGTGTTTTTGAGATTGACACCCCTGTTCTATATCATTGACTTGTTGTAGGATCCAGTGCTGTCAAAGGCCAGGTTTTTCTGCAGACTGCCTGATGTTTCCTCCAGAATCTCAACAAAATCTCTTTTCTCATGATGCTGTATTTAAAGCTGGCAGGTCCCTTGGCTGAGAATCCTCCAAAACATTGCCACCACCATGCTTCACCGTGGGGATGGTGTCCTTGGGGTGGAATGTATTTCCTTTGTGTGTGTGTATGTCTCTGCGTCCAAGCAACTCCATTTCCACCTCATCTGGCTTTAGAAATGATGACTAAAAGCTTTTTTTCTTTGTTCAGTGGAGCTTTTGTGTATTTGTCTCTGAGAAGCGAAGTCCTTCTTGGTCTGCATCCATGAAGACCAGCATTGTTCAGCGTGTGCTGGAGTGTCTACTTGAGATGTTGTTACCAGAATTGCTCAGATTCATCAGGGTGCTTTTGCTGCTGATCTTTGGCTTCTTCTTGGCCTCTCAAACTACCATTCCTGCCAGTACATGGGGTCATTTCTGGCTTCCTACCATGCACTCTGAGAGTTTTCACCTTGTACTTTCCTATGATGCTTTGCACTGTGGCCGCCGGCACTTGAAAACACTTGGATTTGGCTTTCTATCTTTTCCCAGCTTTGTCAGCAGCTACTGTGTGCAACTCTCTCAGAGAAGGACTGTAATAGAAAGCTCACTGTGCTCTTTGGTTTTAGTCATGACTCACAATTGACCTGCTGCATCACTTCTCAGTTTATAGTGTATCGGAATGCATTGCAGGAATTACTTTTTGAATGATACAGAAGCTGCATTTTTACAATTTTAAAGGGTATGACTATTTTGGACGTGGCATGTTTAGAGTAGAATAGAAAACAATAGAATAGAATACTTCATTGATCCCCCATTGGGGAAAAATTCCACGCCACAGCAGCATCCAAAAATATTGAAAGTACATGAAAATAACAATAATTAAGTAATATGCATCCTGGTGTCCTCACACAGCAGGTCCAAGGCCCCACCGTCTCCAGTTGGGCTGTCCACATACTGGGAGAGTGGTGGAGAGCGATGTGTGGTTAAAGTCTCCTGAGATGACGATCAGAGGGTGTGATGTTTGCAGCTGGAACACTGAACTATGGATGAGTTCACAGGCTGCAGCAGCATCAGCCGAGGAAAGGATGTAAACTGCAATCGCCAGGATGTGTGAAAACTCCCTGAAACGGCCGCAAACCAACCGCCAGCAGTTCAACATCCCCCGTGCAGCGCCGCTTTTTAACGCTAACGTGCCCAGCATTACACCATCTCTCATTCACATACATGGCAAGTCCCCCACCAGGTGTAATCCATCCAAAGTTACGAGCGAGTCGGGAGTGAGTTCGTTCAGCCATGACTATTAGGCTGCACTCCCGATACTCCCACTGTAGTCAGGTCAGCATTGTTAGCTGTTAGCTCTTCCATCCATTCGGGAGAGACCTCACGTTTCCCATGATGATGGACGGTACGGACAGCTTGTAGCATCTCCTCATCTCCCGACGCTTCACTCCTGCCCTGCATCCCCTCTTAGTCCTGCGGAGCTCATCGGGGATGTCCGGTCTCTCCCACGACGGTGGCTTGGCCTGGCTCAGCACCAACAGCTGTTCACGAGTGTAAAAACAATAGAGCCATGGCTCAACGGCTCAAGGTCTCGCCAGACGCAGACCCCAAAAAACTCACAAAAAAAAACAAAGAACAGACCAAAAAAAACGCCATCTGCATTTCCACTGTTCCTGCACAAATGTGGTACAGCTGTGTGAAATTAAAATATTAAAAAGATAGAAGAAGAGCCAAAGTAAATAGCCAAAATCACAGAAAGTAGGTAGGAACCGCCGCAACTGGCTGCCACTCTTATGGCGCCATAGCAACGACAAAAAATTTAGTACGAATATAATAAATTTAATAATAGTTCAAATCTATTACTAACACAATATCTTACCGTCTTTTGTAACATTTTTAAGTCATTCCCAGCTTGAAGAAATGTATTGATTAAATAAAAAAACACCCTATAAATCTAAATTTACCATCTTATGAATCATGTGAGGCTCAACACTTCTATGTGGAAGATGTTTAGAGCTCACATTTACTGCCGACCAGCTGAAAAAAGAAGAAATAAAGGCCTTTCCCACACAAAAGCCTTTTTTTTCCTCCAGCCACTGATGCAAATAAAGGCCTCGGCCACTCTTTGAGAATTTACAGTATCATCCACCTACCCTGCGGCTGCATTCAGCACTCTGCTGCCACACAGCACTCAAGCCTGTCAGCAAGCAAGCAGTTCTGCAACATCCTTGATTCAACATACCAGAGAGGTTTTTCTCAGCTTCAGAACAATGTGTAACTGAAATAATCACCATATATTATTTGGTAAATTTCTTCTGATAGCTCAATGTCTAATTCATGAAATATGCACAGATAACAGTTTTCTTTTTCTTTTTTTAATATCACATGCAAACTTGGGGATTCGTACTGTTCTTGTAACTGTATGCATGGTTCAGATAATCTGTCAATGACATAACCAGCTTGTTTGGATTGATAATTGAGCATTAAGACGGACACTGATGCAACACTCACTGCTGATGAATCCTCACATCACATTAAAAGACAGAATTTGGACATATTTGCCCAAATTTTGTTCGAGAAAGTGAAGAAAAAATGGAGGACTTCCAAATAAAGAGACTGATATCTGTAGTAGGACCTTATCGGTGCTGCAGGTGTCTCTTCATTTACATCTTAGACTGTACAGACGTTTTATTAGACGTGTCAGATGTTTGGAAAATCAGGTGACAACTGCATTGTGACGCATCTTATATTCAGTTTGCCAAAATGTATAAATCTGATACTGAGTAAACTGGACAGCTCAACTGAACAACCCGCTTTAGAATGTGATGAAAATGCAAACGAATAGGACTGACGCTGATCACTTGCAAACACTGAGGCAGCAACAAAAATCAAGGAATCAGAAAGTATAGCGGTAGCTTTTCTGACAAAAAGATACGACTCGTGAACAAATGCCTGCAAGGTTTCCTGAAAATCTTTGAGCTGTATGAAGTAAACAACCTGCAGTGCAGCTGCTCTTTCACTAAAATATAATGGAGCAGGTGGAGGCTTTCATTTGAACTGCCTCCCCCCCACCTGTGACACCCATCCTCCAAAAGATCTGGCTCCACTGCTGAGAAACAGTTCACAGAGACTCACCACCTGCATCATTACCGCAATCTGGAAACCTCCTGTAATTAATAGTTTTCCTAAACATTTAATGGACTCAGACAACAAAAGAAAAGCCACATGCTTTCCTTGGCTTTTCGCATCATTAGCTTGTTTACAGCGCTGCTTGTGCCGGCTGATCCCTGGTTACCTCTCTGTTTGAACTTTCCCTGAGCTGCAGTAAAAAAGCCTTTTAACCGAACACAGAGGTGGTCTTACCTGTCTTGGGGTCAACAGAGAAGTAGGGCTGCCCCTCCAGGATGCTGTAAACTATCTTGGCGCTGTTGCCGTAAGTCGGATCGTCTGCGTCTGAGGCCGTCACCTGGATGACTGATGTTCCTGCAGAGAAGAGAAGATCTAATGTGTGATCAGGTGGTGATTAGACGAAACCATTAACCACCGAGAGGGAACATGAATATCGACTAGGTTTAAATGCTTACATCTTATAGTTGTAGTTAGGTGGGTCGGCGTACTTCCACATATCTTAACAATTGTTCATTTTGCCCTAAAAGCACCAAAGTTCTCCATTATCTATACACCGCTTAATCCTCAAGAGGGTCATGGGGGGCTGGAGCCTATCCCAGCCGACTTAAGGTTAAGGCAGGAGACACCCTGGACAGGTCACCAGTCTATCACAGGGCTACACTTAGAGACAGACAACCAAGCACACTCACATTCACACCTACAGACAATTTAGAATCACCAATTAACCTCAACATGTTTTTGGACTGTGTGGGAGGAAGCCGGAGAACCTGGAGAGAACCCACACTGCACGGAGAGAACATGCAAACTCCACGCAGAAAGATCCCGGTGCCCCCACCGGGACGCGAACCGGCAACCTTCTTGCTGCGAGGCAACAGTGCTAACCAACTGCACCACCTTGCAGCCCAAACACCAAAGTTGGTATAGCTATATTGGGAACAAAACTGGATACTGGACCATTGCTAATTTTCATCTTGGTGACTGTGGCCGCCATTTTTCAAAATGGCCACCAGTGGTTGGTCGAGCCCTCCCACCCCATTGGACCCATACACAGAAACATCATCTAGATCTTGGTCAACCTGAGAACCAAATTAAGAACTTCATCTCCGCAGTTCTATTGACTTGTACACACTAATTGGGTAATTTCACATATTAGTATATAGTGCAGTTAAGCCCTATGTCGTATTTTTTGGATAAGTTATTGGATAACTTTTTATTTTTTCTAGAAAGGTACAGAAGCATGTTTGTAGAAAGTTAACCTCTCACTGATAGAATTAACATCAACAGTAGTCATTGTCTTATCACCAGTAGTAGTAGTATTAGCATTAGCAGAGCAGGAAATGTGTTTTTAAAATCTACTGCACTACAGAATACATATACTTAAATAATAATTTATATTGTAATCCATTACAGCCCTGTTTCCAAAAATGTTAGGACACTGTGTGACATAGAAAATAAACACAAAATGCAGCAATCTGTGATTTATTTGAGGCCTGTAATCAACTGCAAGTAGTACAAATAAAACATTTCAAACATGGAAACAGAGAAATTTTGATTTTTAAAACATATTTTCTAGTTTAGAATTTGATGCCAGCAACACGTTTCAAGTTCACGTTGGGACAAGGGCGTCAAAAAGGCTGGAAAAATTGTGTAATGCTAAAACAAACACACGGTTGAACATGTCACAACTAATTAGGTTAATTGGCAGCAGGCCAGTAACATGAATGGGCACAAAACAAGCAACCCAAAGAGGCTTTCAGAGGGAAAGATGAGGAGGGCTTCATCGCTGTGGAAAAGACTGCATGGGCAAATATACAATTTAAAAATAACATTTCTTGATGCAAATTTGCAACGAATTTAAGGATTTCATTGTCTACGGTTCACAATGTAATTTAAAGGTTCTGCGAATTGGGAGAAATCTCAGCGGTCAGGGCACAAAGCCCAAAACCAACGATGGATAGCCCTGATCTTCAGCGCTGCATTAAAAAAAGAAAAAGATTCTGTAATGAAAAATCACTGCAGGGGCTCAGGAACACTTGTGAGAAAACCATCGTCAGTGAACACAGTTTCTCTCCGCATCCACAAATGCAGGTTGAAGCTCTATCATGCGAAGAAGATGATACAAAACAACAGCTCGTTTAAGATGGACTGAGATGAGGTGGAAAACTTTCCTGTGGTCTGACCAGTCATAATCTGGTAACATCAGCTGCGTCCTCTGGGATGAAGAGGACCGGGACCATCTGCCCTGTTGTCAGCGCAAAGCTCCAAGCCAGCATCTGTGTGCTGTGGTTTTGGGGTTTTAGTTTATTTATTTCCTTTTGCGTGCCTCGGTCGATGTTGCCTCCTTTCTTTGTCTTATTTCCCACCTTTGTGATTCCCTGATTGTCTCCACCTGTTCCTAATTACTCCTGCCTCCCCGGTGTACTTAGCCTCGTGTTTCTCCCTCTGTCTTTGTCAGTTCATCTGTTCGCCTCCTCTGTGATTTCTTACGCCTTGCTCGCGGTTTACTTCAGATTTCAGATACCTTTTTGTTACTTGAATTTCTTTTGGATGCAGTTTTGATTATCCCGGATGCACCAGCCACCTGTTTGTCTGCTAGTCTTATATGTGCGTTCTGGGTTTGTGTCCTCCTTTCCAAAG